TCTAACAATCATACACAAGACCGGTTTCGACGAAAACATGAAAATCATGTTAGGTATTTCAGACACCCCAAACATTTGCCTGACTGGCCATATTACCATTTATTCGATTAGGTGAGCTTGAAATTTGTGCCTTTTCGGTATTTATTGCCACTCGTGAACCCCATTTGCATCACTGTGTACTGGGCTGCATAGAAAGTTTATGTGTTTCTCCTCATGTGGCTCAGTGAACAAACTAACTACCTCCCGAACGTAAACGCATGCTCTATTACAGGGAATAGGCAGGACCCCTGGGTTTAGTATTCTGATCATTCTTCTCGAGCCCTGCAAAACCCCACTTAACCCGCGTCCGGCCGGGGGGAGGGGTGTTTGAACGCCTGCGGTGTTTCGCACATATCTCTATAACGGCGGCGCGGAGCGCCGCCGTTTTTGGCACAGCTGTTAATTCATCTTTTCCGCACATGTTTTGAAAATTTCAGACCTAGGGCTCTCAAGGTCAGGTCGCCAGGTCACGTCAAGTGACTCACCTCAGAAAAAGTTTAAATCCTCGTCATAGCTACACCGACTAAACAATCGCCTTGAAACGTTCAACGATTGATGAGAGTAACAGTATGTACAACATGCAAATATGCATATCTCGGAATTTCGATATCTGTGACCTAGTCAGGCCAATTTTGCGACCTCTCCATTATAAGTCAATGGGAGAAAATTGAAAAGCGCCTCTTTTGCACGAATGGTGTTCAAAACCCTCTCAAACCCTCGGTTCATGGGTAAAAATAACACGCTAAATCGGAAAAATGCACCTGTGACCCCTCTGTGTGCCCCTGGGCCTGAGGTCATCTAAGGTCATGAATGGCCACCAGCACATTTTTGGCTATAACTTTTGATAGAGACATGCAATGCTAGAGCAACAAAACACGTCAGATGTATTCAGCTTGACGATTTGGATCAACTGATATGCAACAAAACCGTTTCCGGTCAGGTCATGACCTTGACCTGAGGTCAAATTTTCAAAACGACCTATCAAGGTCAACAAATAGTTCATTTGACACGTCTTGACGAGTGGAACACGATGCTGCACAGTGCACAGTATATGCACAGTATATATGTAGAGGGCTAGTGTTGGGTAGGTAGTGAATTCATACAAGCTTGTCATTACTTAAAAATATAGGTAGGTAATAAAAAAGTAACCGTACTCCTATAATTAAAATCAAAAATCTTAAAAAAGGCCGGATAATCTCGAGGAGCTTTCGGCTTACACCTTCTTCAACTCCTGAAGCTGAAGAAACTCCTCGAGATTATCTGGCCTTTTTTAAGATTTTTTATTTTATTTTTTTATTTTTATTTTTGATTTACTCCTGAAGTTGAAGAAGGAGTTGAAGAAGGCGTAAGGCGTAATGTGGACTGGCCTTTTTTAAGATTTTTGATTTTTTTTTTTTGATTTACTCCTGAAGTTGAAGGAGTTGAATGTCAAATTTTCAAACTCAATTTTTAGCAATTCTAGACCTCGCAGCGCAAAACAAAGACCACCATTAGACTCCCCGTGACGAGCTGCATCGAATCGATACCCGTTTTATGCAAAATTTTATGCATTTTATGCCACTACTTTTCAAGGCATGGTTAGACCGATACTGGAATATGGAAACTGTGTGTGGGGTCCTGTCTACTGCGGTGACCAAGACAAGGTTGAGAGAGTTCAGAGGCGGGCCACAAAAATGGTAGCATCAGTCAGGCATCTAGCATACAAGGAGCGGCTGGAGAAACTGAAGCTACCAAGCATGCACTACAGAAGAGAAAGAGGGAACATGATCATGGTGTATCAGATTGTAACAGGAGGAATTAGGATCGACCACACCCGGATCTTTCAGAGAGCCCCACCTGACACCACTACAAGAGGACACTCACTTAAACTGATTAACCCGCGCACCGACGGGGGTCTGCGCCAACTTAGTACCGACGGGGGGGGGGGGGGGGCGGATGACCGCCCCCCCTGAGATCTCGAGAACGAAGCAAGATAGCGACAAGCGGTAAACGGCATCGGATACGCACGGTCAAGATCTACAATTTTTACTAAGGTCATTTTCAGGTCAGGTCAAAGATGACGTCACAGGGGTCGAAAAAGTCAAAATGGCGGCGCTAAATATGGAGAGAGTTTTTCTCGAATAACTTTCGAATTAGTCAAGATAGGAACAAACTAAGGGCATCATCGTGATCCTCTCGTCAATCCGCATCGAATGATATATATGTTGACCTCGAAAGGTCAAGGTCAAAGGTTGACCTCAGGTCACGTGACCTCGAGGTCATCATGTATATCATTCGATGCGTCTTGACGAGCTGAACACAATGAGACCATCCACGCGTCTGTATCTTGTTCCTGTACGGAGTTATTGGCCAAAAACCTTTGGTGACCTTTGATGACGTCACATGACCTCACAGCTGCCCAACAGCAAAACAGACCTCAAGGTAGTGAAGGTTGATCGTATATGAAGTCATGTATGGTATATGGGGCCATTCCGACCCGTTTTAGTGGTAAAAACAGGGAGTTGATTTTTCCCCCATTGACTTATAATGGGGAGGTCGCGAAATTGACCTGACCTTAGGTCACCGATATCAAAATTCCGAGATATACAAATTGTAGCTACTAATGACCTAATAACATCCTGCGACTTTCAAAGGCCTCAGACATCTACTGTAGCTCTGGCACGGTGACAAAGTTGCAAAAAAGTGACTTGAGGTTGGGTCATTCAAAGTGACCTGGTGACCTGACCTTGAAAGGTAGGAGGTTCAAACTTGCACACCATGTGTAAAATTGATAAGGGAATAGTCATACCAAATTTCGCGGCGCTACGCGCCGCGGTTTTCCCGCTATTCGCGAAAAACCTCAGGGGGGGGGGGGCGGATATCCGCCCCCCCCCCCCGTCGGTGCGCGGGTTAAATCATCGGCAAATCGCACGCAGAGGCAGAATGCTTTCTCACACAGAGTTGTGAATAAATGGAACAGTCTCCCTGAAGAAGTAGTGAATGCCAGAGGGGTGTTCACGGGCACCGCACACTGCTGCGTGCGGTGTGTGCGGTGCGTCCAGCAGGCGTGGGGGTAGGGGATGGGTAGGCGGTTCTGACGTCACGGCTGCGTGCGGTGGACGGTCCGCTGTGGCCAGTCCCGACCAGGGTATATGTCCCGACCGGCCACAGCGATCGCTGTGTGCGGTGACGGAAGGCTGACGTAAGGACGAAGTGGGCGGAGCTTCGAGGCTGTGTGCGGTCCGACCGCACACAGGGCCCGTGAACAGCCCTCGGGACAGTCAACAGATTCAAAAATGCTCTAGACAAACACTGGAAGAACTTGCTGTACCAAACCAGAACCGACTAAACTACAAGCCAATGAGCAGGAAATCCACAGGCTTCCTTTTCCTAGCCTATCACCTTTCCTGTAATTCAGTAAGTAAGTAAGTAAGTAAAAATATCAACTTTGAAATTTGACCTTTTTTGACCTGACCTCCACCAGAAAGTGACCTCAACCGTACCTGATGGTCTTATAACCAACACCATTGAGTCGGAAATGAAAAACTGGCCATAAAACATGCATCACATAACCTTAGTAAAGTTGTGCTCAGGTGGTGACCCTTGGTGACCTTTGGTGACCTGACCTGTGACCTGACCTGGTATGACCAGTGACCTCTAATAGCAACATATGTACTAGACAACTGACGCCTTATCGCTGCTTTTCGACAAAATGCGTTTTACTTCGGTGTTATAGCGTTTTCCCTAGAAGCCCCGTGAACGGTGAAACATTTTATCTTTGACCTGACCTGTGACGTCATCGGTGACCCCGAAGTCAATGAAAGTTGGTTTCCTTCGACAAATTTGACAGGGCTATCGAACGCCGTTTGAAATTTCTGGATCCGTCCAGTAGTTTCGGAGATACGGGGGGGGGGGCAAAAAAATGCCCCCCACCGCGCGGAAGGTGGCTGGTAGGCCCACCGCCTGCCGGGTTAATGATAGGGAATTGGGATGTTATGCATCTCATTCGCCCAGTGTCGGTCCAGTCGTGCCTTGAACTGCGCAACCGTCCTCCACTTCAACAAAATCTGATTTTTTTTAAAGGTCAATTAGAAAAATATTAAGCAGCCAGGTGTAGGTCATAACTATCAGCCATGCAGTGTCAGCGTTAACTTCGGAATTGGAATCTGAGTCGATAAGATTTTAATGACTCAAACTTGAACTCAGACTCCAACCCCGACAAAACTGTCGACTCAGTTCCGACTGACTCCGACTCCGACCGCCGAAGCCCTGCTTCAAACGCAGTGGCGCGGGAACCGGGGGGCTAGCGGGGGCTGAGCCCCTCCAACTTTTCGGCTGGGGGGGGGCTCGTAATGTATTTGAGCCCCCCCCCCCCAGCTGGAGGAATCGAAATCTGAAATCTACCAACATAATTTCATATATTCATACATAGGCGCGGGAACCGGGGAAGGGGGCAGTGGGGGAAGCTTGCCCCCACAACTCTGCGGCCGTGGGGGCGGTGCCCCACAACTTTTCATGAGGCTAGGAACCGTTGGGCAGCTTGTCCTCCCCAAATTAGGGGTTGTGGGTCACAAAGGGAAGAAAGTATGTAAATGAAAAATCCACCTCTTTCACTGGCTCGGCAACTCATTTGGCAGATTAAAACCTTTATTCCAGGTTGCCAAAACGGTAGTTTCTTCGCTCAGCTGAGACGGAATACCTCACTTTTTTGCAAATATTTTCTCTTTTTTTGTTGAAAAGGCTTAGGTCTGAAAAACAAGTGGCCTAAAACCGGTGAGAAAACTAGATTTGGGGGTACCCTAGGTTGATCTCTATTATGGTTCAGCCCCCCCCAGTCTGGAAGAAGTTCCCGCGCCACTGTTCAAACGACCAAACAACAGCACAAACAATGCAAACTGATTATTGGATCTCAGTGCCTTAAATCTCAAACACCACCATGAGGAAAAATTATGCATAATATACCTATAAATAATAATAAATACCTAATACACCTCAGTGTTGCCTCAGTGGATCAGTGCCGGCTTTGAATACCAAGTCAAAGTCAAGTGCTGTTCGTTTGCAATTTTAATTTAACAGCTTGTTGGAAAACCTAGGCTTTTCATTGGTGAAATTCGCGTCATCGTGCTAATCACCAATGAAATACCGAGATATGCGGGCAATAGTTTCCATATATGGCAAAAACGCCGGACTAGTTTCAAACTGAACACTAAGGAATAAAGCATAACCGCTCAAAAATTACTGTATCAAGTATCTTTCATCAAAAAATATCTTTAAATGACGTTTTTGGGCTTGAACAAAAAAGTCAATCGCAGCTGGTCTGCTGCCCTAATTGAGTTATAGTTCTTATTAAATTTTAAATCTAATTGGTCTAAGGTCATCTCATTTCTTCAATGTTCATTATCCTTAAAGCAAAAAGCTAAAACGTTTAGCCTAACTATTCAATGTTTTGCATTAATGACGTCATCATATGCTCATTATACGATAAACCATTATACTCAAACACTGAACTCTATAATGTGGAATGCGCATCGGCCGCCAAATGGTGTCCAACGGTGCCGCCATGTTGCGCAGACCAGAAAGCGGCCGCCGCCTGTGCTGGGGAATAGGGAATTCGGGACCTCGATTTACGTTTGCGGTCGCTGCATCCGTTACGCTCAAGCTATGTGGACACGGAACCCGGCATCTTACGCAGAATTGAGTGGAGAACAAGATGAAATCCTAAAAAATCATCAGCTATAAGGAACTAATACGTTAAACCCTTATAAGTCAATGGGGAAATATGAAAATTGTTATTTTGGCGCCGAGAATGATCTGAAACTATCTCAAGCATATAAAATCATGATTTCATGCACTCTTTGCAAGGTTCTATGCTTCATATTTGCATTGTTGCCCTTACGTGACGTCATTTGTGACGTCACAAGGGTCACCATTTTTCTTCAATAACTCCCAATAAAATTGAGCTAGCGAGTCGGAAAAGCCACCAATGGACTCAGGAAGACCTGCCGAATCGAATGATATGCGACGTGACCTCTTTCGACCAACTCCGTGACCTGGGGGTGCTGACCTGACCTTGACCTGAGGTCAACACCCTAAGTTGACCTGACCCGAACAAAAAGTATATCACTCGATGCGCCTGAGCTAGCTGAACACGATGATGCCAAAATCGCGGCTCTACGGCCATTTTTGGCGAAGTTATTTACGAAAAACCGAACCCGTGCCTTAGATCACTTGACCTGACCTCAGAGGTCACCGGTTGACCTGAAACCCTTACAGCGGGTTCCTACCAGTCACTCTGCATTATACTTTGCCGCATACGACCACTTTACCGCTTAATTCTAGTTTAATTAGCGGTGCATTAGCGAGGTGGGTTCAATCAACCCCCTCGGCCGGGGCAAATGTAGGTCAGGCGAGTAAATTTGAGGAATTCTGAAGATACGATCGTGTTCCCCACTCAATTCTGCGTAAGATGCCGGGTTCCGTATCTACGTAACTTGAACGTAACGGATACGGCGGCCGCAAACGTAAATCGAGGTCCCGAATTCCCTATTCCTCAACACAGGCGGCAGCCGGTTTCTGGTCTGCGCAATATGGCCGCCACCGTTAGACACTACGGCCAATAGGGTTGAAGCGGCATTGCTCCCCTGTGTACTCAAATTACCAGTGATGTAAAAGCAGAATAGTGACGAAAACGGCGCAGCAATAGTGCTTTGCAATTCATTATAGAGTTCAGTGTTTGCAATTGCATTCAGTGCCAGGGCAATTCTAAATCAGAATTTATTGAAATGGAATAGCATTGTGTTGGAATTAATGCAGCATTTGTAACCTAGACACTGGCGTCAAACGCAGCCTTTTATGAAATAAGCTTCAACATATAGAAGTTCAAGGGCTTGCTAGGTATATCACAATCATAGTCATCTGTTCTTGAGATATTTACACAAGTTTTTTATTGCTTACTAGTCTTATCAAAAAGTCTTGAAAGACAAAACAGTCAAAACATAGTTGATTGTAACTTGGCCTAACTTTACCTAGACCTACACCACAGGCTACATTCTACCAACGAAATAATCACCTTCAAAATCAACTTCCATCACACAGCCTACGACCTACCAATATACCTACCAGACTGGAAAAATACAGGTAATGCTGAATTCCGGCGTTACCTACTTCACATGCGCTGAATTCAGTGTGTGGCGGCCACAGAATTTTTCAGCGCATTGCACTTCAAAAATTATGTGTAAGCATTATTTTTCGGCGCATGGCGGTCATCAACCTTTTTTACATGCTGGCCAACCTCAACCTAGCAGCAGATGCGCCCTGCGGGCGGCTCTGGAGAGGGTTTGTGACAAGCCATTCCCCGCCCCTGCCGTCTCGGGCTCAGACTCACGAGCCTTGAGTCTACGACTCTACTGAGGTCTGAGCGGAGGAGCGGCCGCCCAGGTGAGTCCTTCACCTCCGGATCGCAGATAGGATAGGTATGGAAGACCTTGTTGATCATTGCCGAGCGTCTTGAAGTAATCCTGCAGTGGGTCCCTGCCCACTGCGGGACTGAGGGAAATGAGAGTGTGGACGACACAGCGAAACAAGCGGCCTCCCTGCCCTCAAACGCTCGCTCGCTGACCCGGGCGGCTCATTATGCGGCCTCACGTGAATAGCGCGACAGCTGGTCCGAGTCACCACTATTCAAGCCACTCTTCGGGAGCACGCTGCTGCTCTGAGAGCAGCAGCGCTCTCCATCTCCGCTGAGGACCTAGAGGACGCCATTTCGGTGCACCAGATGAAGGCGGGCCACTGGGGCCGCTCGCTCCAGTAGCTGCACCGAATGGCCGTCTCCCCTCCGCGGCGTGCCAGCAATGCGCGGATAAACGGTGCCCCGCGGCGCGCTGTGCCGTGTGCTAAGAAGAGGCTGATGTGCCGGAGCACGTGCTGCTCTGCTGCGCGGCCCTCGCTGGCGCTCGCCAGTCTCGATCACACCGCTCCGCTGATTTTTGAGGTCCCGGAACTTCCGGCCCAGCCCTTGTTTCACGGTACGACGCTGCAGTGCGCTGCGCGTACCTATTGTGGCATTGGGTTTTCATGGGAACATCAGCTTATTCGGACGCTTACGTTGGAGAGCGTCCAAGGCCCCGGAACGCTCTGTATGGCCTTACAAACTGGCCGTACAAATAGCACCACTGAAACCATCCGTGTGGCTGCGATATGTCGATGACACATTCGTCCTGTGGAACCATACTGAGGACATAACACCGTTCCTGGATCACATCAACAGCCTCCGACCCTCCATTCGATTCACAATGGAAACAGAAGTCGACAACAAACTGCCATTCCTGGACGTCCAAGTGGAGAAAGCTGAGGAAGCATTCAGTACATCGGTCTACCGCAAACCAACTGCGACCGACCGCTAGGCGCTACCTCAACTTCAGGTCTCACCACCCGGACACAGTCAAGAAGGGTATCGTCAGATGCCTACAGACCCGAGCCACCAACATCAGTGCAGACGAAGATACCAGAAAAACAGAAATGTTATGCCTGACCAACACCTTCAGGAGAAACGGATACCCAACAAGCTTCGTGACGCACAAGCCCAATGAAGCATCCCAACAACCACGGGATAAGCCAATCACGACAGTGTCCCTCCTATACAACAGAGGACTCTCGGAGAAGCTGAGGAGATTTTGCGGAGCGTACAACCTCAGGACGGTATTCAGAAGTATCACCACCCTCCGCAGGTCTCTGACAAAGGTCAGACCACCAACCACCAAGGAACAAACAAAGAACTGCATATACGACATCCCGTGCAGCTGCGGCAGGTCATACAAGGGCGAGACTGGCCGCCCACTGGCGGTCAGGCTCGAAGAACACAGGAAGGCCACCATCCGAGGCGAAACACTGAAATCCGGTGTGGCGGAGCATGCATGGTCCGAAGGAGATCACAGACCTGCATGGGAAGATACCACTATAATCGACGAGGAGCCACACTGGAAAATCAGAAAGATCAAGGAAGCCGCACACATGGCGCTGGCAAGCAACCCCATCAGCAAGCCAAGCGTTGACATCAGTCCAATATGGCTCCCACTACGAAGGAAATCACAAAACATCCGGGGGGATATGTAACACCAAGCTCCCAGCTCTATAGCGATGTCTGCATCTATAGTGGAGTGGTTAGAACCGTGGCCTATCACCGGGGAAATCTGAGTTTGATTCCCGCTGACCACAGGAACTTTCGAAAGGTATGACGCGTACGGCGCAACGCCATCAACATCCAGGTCCTTCTAAGGGCCAAAGAACACCTGACCTGACGACGTCCGGAGAAGTAACTGGCCTAAACGTTGTGAATTTAACTTCTCAACTCAAGACGGGGACGAAAGTCCGACAACTAATATCCGTGTTAGTGTGTGGATGTTTTCCAGTCTGGCCAATGTGCAACCTGCACAGAAATTCATGTGTAAATATCAATAACTGGTGAATTTAGTGACTTCACAGATGGGTGGCAGCACTGTGTACACCTGCTATAAGATTACCTTAATGTTGGCTTTATGTGCATAATTCTGTTTCAGCTTGTTCCTGGCTGGCATCATTGGTTTTGAGCTGATCTGGTAAGCCAGTTAGCGTGTTTTGCTTTCTTATTCCAAGAAGCAGTTATCAAACAATATCATTATCAGTCACAGTTCACCTCAGCACTTGAATTTTTCCTGCCCATCACAATGAAGGTGATCACTGGTTCACCGCTGCTGAAGCTAGTGGCGGCGGTGTTTGTGGTGCTTGCCTTTTGGCTGATGATCAAGTACATGACATGGGAGGAGGATACCATGGCACTGCCAGACACCTTTGTACGACCCATCATCCCCGCTGTCCCTGAAGATGATGAGGGCATCGAGGTGAGTCCGTGGTTTTAGTTTATGGGGTCGGATGAAACTTGAATAGCTGAGGAAATGTGCCGTCTCTGATAAGTGTTTTCCAGAGCATACCTTATGCCTGCAGAAGCTGCATGCTGGCCACAGGTGTCCACCATCAGACATTCTTTCATGCCATCAGCTACCTTACCTACTAATCTTGGACTAATGCACACATTACCATTTGGCAGAGGACGGGCCACCCAGTGCAGGTGGAGGTGTTCTACGAAGCCCTGTGTCCGGACAGTATGAACTACATCGTGGACCAGCTAGCGCCAGCCGTCGCTAAGCTGCCTGTTGATGCGCTCAACGTCATCTTGGTGCCTTACGGAAAAGCCAAGGTGCGTTTCTTGCCGTCTCTCTGCTGTAGAGTTAGCAGTGTGCCACCCTCCTACATTGGCTTTCTGCGGCAGGATAGGTTCAGACTATTTTGGCATTGTCATGAACAACTATTCGGTGCAATGGCACTGCTACGTGATCAGCTGTTTATGGCAGCAGGTTATGTTTTATTTAAAGACCAGTCATGCATCCTAGTCTCGTTTCCGCTGTCGTGCCGTCCGTGAGCACGCTTTTCATCTCAAATTTTGTGTCGCCTGTTCGTTACTGATGTGGCCTCTCTCGTTCGGACCCGGTTGATCTGTATGACCCACTCTCCCCGTCACCCTGTCTGTCCCCGCGCTCCTGGTCGCCGGTATGATCTGCCGTGTCCCGGCCGGCAGACGTACCAGCGCGGCTCCAAGGTGACCTTCTCGTGCCAGCACGGCCCCGAGGAGTGCTGGGCCAACAAGCTGCACGCGTGCGGTATTCGTCAGGCGGCCAACCAGACGGTGTCGGTGCAGTTCGTCACCTGCCTGATGAGGCACTACCGCCGGCTGCGACTGCGTGCCCAGCAGGTCGGTGGCGTCGGACCAATCTTTGCAGATCCTTTCCAAGTCCAGTCTTGTTGTTTATTTGTCGAGGAATGACGTGCAGAGGTGGTTACTCCTCGTAGTTTGTTATTCAGTTGTGGGTAAAGTCTCAGAAAATCGTTAAAGCGGCATAGTTTTGGATTTTTATGGTGTGTGATCGGTAAATTGTCAACTGGTGGGCTACTGTAGCCCGCCAGCTAACAGTTGTATTTCATGCATGATGTATGGTTTTTTCATAGTCACGCGTTTGAACTGCTTTAATTTGCGATAATCCAGTTATTTTGATGTCATTTCCGGCATTGTTGATGTTATTGATGTTATTCCTGCTGGATTGTTGCCACGATTATGTGCCAGTCATATCAAGGCCATATCCTATCTCAGCTGCTCACAAGCACCGCGTTATAGTGAGTCACATATTGGGGCAAACCCCGCCGGGCGACCGGCCTTACCGCCCCGCGCTGTGCTCTACCATTCGACCCGCTCTCCCTGTACGTAGTACGTACCTCCCGTTCCCGGTACTGTCCGGTGACCGGCTCTGACCGGGCGCTCCCTCCGCCAGTGCGCCGAGGACAGCCGCCTGCCGTGGGTGCAGCTGTCAGCCTGCGCCGCCGGCTCGGCCATCGACCCCGACATTGTGCGGTACGGGGAGATGACGCAGGCGCTGCGGCCGCCGGCACACTTCATACCCACCATCACCGTGGACCAGGTGAGAGCCGGTGACCTGTCGAGTTACCGCTCCGGTGACCTGTGAGTTACCGCTCTGGTGACCTGTCGAGTTACCGCTCTGGTGACCGGTCGAGTTACCGCTCCGGTGACCCGTCGAGTTACCGCTCCGGTGACCTGTCGAGTTACCGCTCCGGTGACCTGTCGAGTTACCGCTCCGGTGACCGGTCGAGTTACCGCTCCGGTGACCTGTCGAGTTACCGCTCCGGTGACCTGTCGAGTTACCGCTCCGGTGACCCGTCGAGTTACCGCTCCGGTGACCTGTCGAGTTACCGCTCCGGGGACCGGCCCGGCCCGGTGACCCGTTATAGCGGCTGACGGCTCAGACTGCTCTCCGCAGAGTGGGCCTAGTCCAAGATCAGACCATTGATGATTGCTAGCTGCTGCATTCTTATGGGTCGTTTTTGTGAGGTCCTTTGTCAAATATGGTCCGAATTGGTATCCGTTGGCACTAATCCTTGACGTGCTAAGTTAAAGTGACATCAGCAGTAATCGCTGTAAGAAAATGTTACCAGTTTATCGTGTGAACATTGAATACCGCATAACGGCGCGATGACCTTTTGCAGAGCCAAGATGGTCAAGCTGCAATGTTTGGCAACTTCTTGAGCTTCGTTTGCAAGGCTTATGAGGTAGGTCTCAGGCGTGTGAGCCGTGGGATGGATTTTCCGCTGCCAGCATATGCTTTAAGTAATCAGGGCTTGTTTTGTTGCTGCTTTTGCGAGTGGTTGTTAACTGATTTTGATGTTTCCCATAAGTATACCACGAGGTTTGCAACTAAATCACTGTTAAGTCAGCCGCTATCAGATTATTAGACATCAGTAACTAAAGGAGGTACCGTTATTAGTTCATGGCTGCAATACATGGTTTTAGGAGTATCAATGTGCAAACACTGTTTAAATTCCCTTTTCTTTAGACTTCCTTGGCGTCAACTTGATATCATGCATCGAGATATCAATGACACTTTTTGCAGACACGCTCCGGTAAGAAGCCTACCGGCTGTCCGAAGTGAGTGTGTCTCTGAAGGACGGCACGGTCACAGGCTCGCAGACAGAGGCGGCAGCGTCTCAGGCAGCATTGGAGAGACAGAGGACGGTGCTTCTGGCACGGTGGGACGGAGATACTGTGCAGGAGACGGACGGTGCTTCTGACACGGTGGAGTGCAGATGCCGTGCAGACAGGGCGATCTGAAGCCGCCAGACGCGCCGCCGCTGCAGCCGCGGGCGGCGACCCGGCGGCGCGGTGCAGTGACCAGAACTGACAACTGTGGCCACCAGGTGGGGTGTGCGAGTGAGGACGGGTGAACTGGGCTTTACGGGGAGCCCATATGGGCTGAGCCCATTGGTCCACACCAGGTCCACATGAGAGGTGTGCGTGTGTGCGTGCAGTAATTGCGATAGGAGCACACATTTTGAAAGGTTTATGTGTATGTAGTGCACGGGCTATTTATTTTGATATGGTGTATAATTAGGTCGATGAATTCTGACCATGTGTTGTGGTCCAATTAGTCTCAGAGGTGTCCAGGATGGTTTCCATTGGGTTCCGTCTTTCCAGCGTCAGTGAACGAATGTTTGTGCTCAGTACAAACTGTGGGGGCAGTGCGACCCCAATTCGGCCGCGCAGTGGCGGCTGTCCGGTCCGTATCGGCACCACGCCTAATGGCGACGTCCAGGTTCAACTACCGCAATAGCCCGGCCAGGTGTAGCTAGCGGGACCTCCAGTCGTGCTGGACGTCCACAAACTGAGCGGGGCCGAAACCCAGCACAGTCGGCCAGGGTTCGGAGCTCCTCTTACTGGTGGGGTCGTCTATGGGGAATATGGGCTGGACGCTAGTGGCTCCCCAGAGGTAGGGTTTCTTCGCTGGTGTTGTGTCCAAGCTGTTAAAGCGTGTTCACAATGGACTCGGGTTCTTTCCACAGTTCAGCACAGCCGTTCGCGCATTCACGGAGCACAATTTCCTGGGCTTGGTCCACTGGCTGTGGTGAGACTATGGTATCTTTCATCCCGCACGAGCTTTGAGACGGTCACACAGGTCATCTTGCGCGTGTGATTGGACTCTCCGAAATGGTCAGGATGGTCGCGTCTCCCCGGCGAGGCCCCGCCGGACCGTCCATGCAGGTTCAGCCCGCTCCTCAGTCGGAGCTCTCGGCGGAGGTGGCGGGCGCTGACACTGGCGAATATGTCGCTCCGGCTGTGACCCTATACTACTTCTGTATCGTCTATGTGCGGGCGAGACCCGGTGCAGGGGTATACCTACAGCGCGGGGGTGCCGTCTCGACGCTGACGCCGGGTGCGCTGAGCGGAGTGGGGATGGGTGCACGGGAGGGCGGGTGACAGCGGAGGGTCGGCAGAGCTCAGCTCGCAGCACAGCTCCGGAGGCACGCTGTTATTGCACACGCTCAGCTCATTCTGTGGTTATTGGATTATTTGTCCTGTGTCGGCTCTACGACCAATTGCTCAACAAGATCGCTCGATGTTTTTTAGAGGTTTGCGTGCCCCGGAAGCTGTGCTGCGAGCGCTGGCCACCCACCCCCGGTGTGCTTTATTACTTCTGCTTATACACGTGATCGGAATCGCATATTTAATAAAGAACCAAATGTTGACATTTCTTTTCTTTGAGGACTGTAAGATGTAAACACTCCCCAGATCCAATTAGTACCTACACTCGGAGCGTGACACTGGAAGATTACATATGCTCGAATTGATGAGTTACGAACTTCGCGGTAAAACATGCCTTGGCGCTATAAAGCATGCCTTTGTGCTAACAGGTCGAAATCCGTGTTCAGAGGATTAGAGATGATGCTATAGTTTCCGAGCTGCCGCGCGATCAGGTGGCCAAGAGGATGCTGTTCATGCGGCAATAGCGGTGTGCATGTATCTACACCATTACCAGAGTTTTGTCTTTAAACAACGAATGTGGGTTTGAGGGCGGGGCAGATGTTCAGTGTTATTTTGAGGGAGCGATATGGTTAAGCCATGGTTAAGCAATTACTTTCCTACGTTATCGAGTTGGGGAATTTCAGACCATCACTTCGAGTAGTTAGGTCATGACTGGCAGATGGACCGCGTGTCCTTTCCCCGGTTCATCTGTCCTCGGTCGGCACGTTCCACACTGATACACGATACACGGAAATTGATACACAAACCCGGCACAATTCGACGGTATCCTATCGACCCTTGTGTGGCTACACTCCCCTAATCTACTGCAACGCTTCCACCTCTGCAGCTGCAACATTGGACCACTTCCGGGCAATCAGCGTAAAGTGAACCTTACACGGAGGCAACAGCCCACAGCGTGACTGAGTGACTCGAACCGTGTCCGCTCCGCCCGGTAGTAACACGGCCTGTTTTGACAAGACACTATATTTCTTACAAAGTTGGCAATGTGAGGAGGGGGGGGGGGCTGGATGCGGCGGTCCTCAGGAGGCGACAGAGTCTTCGGCGATGCTGGCCCGCCATAGGTTATCGGCCAGCGCCTGACGCAGCAGCCGGACCTCCTCCGAGCTCTCATCCAGGTCACCTGTCGGGAGGAGCCAGCAGATCAGGGGTCGGAGTCTGCAGGTCAGGGGGCGGGGCAGGACCCAGGAGGTCAAGGGGACTTACCAGTTGGAGAGGGTCGGGGAGCCCGAGGGCCAGGGCGGAGCCAGAGGGTCAGGGGAGGAGCAAGCGGGAGCAGTCGGCGGGTCAGGGGGCGGAGCCAGCGGGTAAGGGGCGGAGTCAGCACTCAGCAGGTCAGGGGGCAGGGACGCAGCGCCAGTGACAGTTACCGATCTAAACACACGATGACGAAGTTTTACACCACAACACATCAGTGACCGAATTATGCCCTGGTCGTCTGTGTCCTTTTCCCTATGGCAATCGCTCCCGAAGTGTATGTGTGTGCACTGCGCAGGTATGTGTGTGTGGGGGGGGGGGTGCTACGGGGCAAGCAATTAGAGGCGGACAGGCGTACATAAAATGGCTAATTGATTTGCACTCACGAATGTTCAGCGAAAATGGTAATTAGTCAAGGCGGATGTTTTAAAGAAATGAATGTTCCATTAGTTAGAAAAATATTATTTGGTATGATAAATGGCACACGGTCGGTTGTTAGACCGCATGCAAAACGAACGTTCCCCGAGGGTAATGTCATGATCCCGAAGGCCTGAAAGCGAGCACAGGACCGACGAGGAAAGAAATCACGCGAGTCATTTCCTTTCCTCACAAAGCGCTGAATTCGCTGCTTGCTGTATAGAACTACGTATTATGCAGGAAGGGGGAGGATGGAATGGTATCCATATTTTAGAGCCGCGGTGACTAGTATGACATTCATGAATACGAATTCGTTCATGACAATTCGCAAGCTCGTTGAATGTTTGACTTTCCGGAAACAAGAAACCCACGGAATCTAAAATTCAATCTTTTAAAAGCAAGGTCGGTTCAATCTGTTAATTGGAGGTAGCCTTTACATGGGGGAGGGTTAATATTAATTCATTTCAGCATATGTACCCGCGCCGGAAAATTGATACACCCAAATGACCACCGGGTCATCAATTCCAGATACCATAGCCATGTGACACATGAAAAATGGTACAACAGCACTGATGATGCCACTGCTTTATGGGAAGCTAAAAGAGGACCGGGCGAAACACCGAACAATAAAACAATACCATGCGACAAAGAGCGCAGGACAATTACTACCGCGGGCGCCAGGAATGAGGCTGACATTACAGGGGCCGGCGTGAGCGGCATTAAATCCAATCGGCCGCTCTTGTGACAAATGGCACGCGGCGGCCAGCACGCCGGGCGGCCGGCGCGCCGCTCAAAGCCTGCACCACCATCCGTCTTGTGTCGTGTCTGATGGCCGTGCGGCGCTAATGCCACCGCGGTCGGTCCGCCGGCCGGTCACTGCACCGCTTTACGTCACTATGCCACGCTGCGCGGCCGACCGGACGTTGCCACAACAGAGCACAGTTCGCGATGCTACAGACCGTTCGGCTCCTTACAGCCGGCGCCGCACGTAAGCACCCCATGGACAGCACAGTGTTAATGACATTCCAGCGGTGTAAGTTGAATCCATCACGCGCAAAGAACGCCTTTAGGTCGTGGCCAAACGGGCAGTGGACGTGCCTGACTGGTCCGTCTCGACGCAACCCGGCTGTTCGCGTCACATGTCAGACACCAACTGATGATCACCATGTGTGGTGAGCTCGTGAGCTCGTGCCTTTCGCGTGCACAATGGATGTAAACGCCGTCGATGGCTGAAAATTGCTCAAGCGCCTGCTGTATTTTGAGTTCAGGCGCCTTCCGGATGTCAAACGTTTGTCTTTTATCATCAGAAGAGCGCGGGCAGAGTTGGTCGGTATTTGGTGGGTCCGTGGTGTCACCTTGACTCTTTTACCGTGATCTCCGGATCTTCGGATATCCGCTAAACTATGCTAACTACTAACATGCACCATATGTGTTAACCCACCGCCTTTCTCACATTTTGAAGAGGTGGGCGTTCAGACGAAGGGCCACAGCACGAACAGCACGCTTGAAACGAACTCCACAAACGCGCATTAAAGCTGTTTAACATTAAATGAAATGTCCGCTTAGTTGTTTGCTATGCTGCAAGTTTCGCGAATGCGATAGCTCCATTCCGATAGAGAGCTGTCATATCGTGAAATAAACATGTTTTCACTGGATATGACCCCCATTTCACACAGGCCATCAGACCTGTTGCATTTGTAACAACGCCCTCGAAACGACATTTTCGCAGTATGGTATGTAGTATTATGTTATATAGCATAAGTTGCGTGCTATATTCCGTGCAGTTTCTCCACATTTGGGTACATGCTGTATGCTGTATAACAGCACAGTACTGTAAAATAGGATGGGGATTGGGGGGACTGGTAAACTAATGACTATTAACATTACAGCTCCGTAATGCCTAATGACAACATGAAAGACTACCTACCATTTATTTGAGTTGAATAAAACAAATCAAATAAATGGTAACATTAATTATTATTTCCATTAACCATCTGTGATGGATCTGCCGGGTATCAACCATTAGCGATGATAATAAAGAAAAAAAACTAGCAGCGCGCGCTAAAAATGGCTGAAATGTATAATCAGAAATGTATGAAATGTATAATGAAATGAAATGTATTCGGTAATGCTGCATTGCTGACTAGGCGGGCTCAGCAATATCTATGCTACTTCTGCTTGCAACAACGTGGAAAACAAAAACATTCCCTATTCCATTGAATCGCAGTTTGAACCATTCCTCTCGCCACTACACCAGCGTATTGGCGGTAGCTATTTGATCTATAGCTATTCACGTTTCAGGTGAACGAAAACCAATCGAAAAGCAAATGTTCCTTCTTCTTACATCCTTGCCTTTTCAGTACGTTGATTGGGCAAAAACGTCCTGACCAAATTTAGCCAACTCGGCACCCAGTGCTATTTAAAAGGTCCTCAGCCACTCCCAGGAGGTTCCCGTCCGTCCGTCCGTCCCCCGGCCACCACCGGGCGTTGTCACTCACCGGACCGTCGGAGCTGCTCCACACAGGCCATCAGGTCGTAGGTCTGTGCCGTCGAGAAGGCGGGCGGCTGCAGCTCCAGCAGCGGCAGCGCGTCCGTCAGCAGCGTCCTCCAGAAGCTGGCGGCGGACGGCTGCGTTAGCGGCACGGTCGGGTGACCCTGGGCTGAGGCGAGCCGTGCTACGGCGGTCGGCACAGACCCGACCCCGGGCGGAGGGTCAACCGTCCCCCGCCGGACGGATACCAGCCCGACCCCAGACTGAGGGCCAACTGTCCCGCGCCGGACGGATGCCCACGATTGAGATCCGACCATCGGTAACGGCGAAACGGACACGTAACGGCTCATCTGGTACCAAACGGTTCCGTACACTAAGCTATCAGTGTGACGGTAATTAAAAAAAAGCTGTTAGGGTCAGAAGCAGAATAACAAATGAACAATTCTTATTTCCCGCTGGCATTTTATGACCTCATAAATGAACTTGATCGGATAGAGCATGAGTGAAATTAACTAGAGCACTGAAAATTAAGTGGTGAATTGAATAACTACGTGATATTTACTTCACATTACAATAAAACGAGAACACAACTGAGGACGTACCCTAAAATATAACCTACGTGTCAATCGGCAACATAAGTAACTCAGGTGCCGGTCGGGCGGTGCTCCACAGTCATAATACCGAAAGTCCCTAGTCCCCAGCACTTAGTGAGGGCAGGCTTTACCCCGAGACACTCACTATTTGGGTGCCAGCTGGGAGGTCATCAGGGTGACGAGTAGGGAGGCGGCCTCCTGCAGACTATCCTCCTCGTACAGCCGGTGGAACTCGCGGTACTTCCCTGCAACGAAAAGGGCCGGTTCAATATGTAGCTGCCGTCGCGCACACCAGCACGAAAGCTTCTGTAAAGGAGCCGACCGTGAGCGGTCTATGTTGCTGTGTTCAAAGGCTGGTTGTTTGAATAAATAAACGACTCTAAAGACATCGATAGTGGACCATCCTTTACACAGTCGATGTCTAGACCAGCCTACGAGCTTCTACAGTCGCATCACAACATCGTCTTCCACATCTCCACTCACCGAGAAACATGAGCCGATCACTCTTGAGCATGCTGGAGCCGAGGTTGTCGACGAAGTCTGCGCTGGCGAAGCGGCCGCTGCTGGTGTACTGTTTGACCAGCGTGTCGGCCAGCTGCGAGGCCAGCGCCGAGCAGTCGGAGCGCAGCGCCCAGGCCAGCGCCGTGCCCAGCTGGCCAGCGGCCATCGCGCGGCGGCCCATCACCTGGGCTACCGAGCTGGCCACCGCGCTGAGGCCGCGGCTCTCCGCCATCTGCACCGAGCGGGAGGCAGGTCAGACCCGGTCAGACATCGGCAGCACACGGCAAAACAGGCGTGTTATAAATGAATGTGTGATGACGGGTGCCATGACAATAAACACGGATGGTCAGCATGCATCGTATGAAAGGTAAACAATCCCACCGCCGTCCTGGGTCCGGTCGCGCACCTGACCGTGCGTCGTACCTGAATGATCTTCCTGGCGCGGCGGTCGGTGCGCGGGTCGAGCCGCTCGAGGAGCAGCGCCAGCCGCGCGCGTCCCGGCGCGCCGCACTGGTCCAGGTAGACGGCGCCCAGCTGCCACAGCGAGCGGCTGGCGCACAGCGCGCTGCCGTACTCGACCAGCAGGTGGTGACGCAGCTCGGACAGAAAGCTGGGCCGGCCGGCGCCCGAGATGTCCGGCAGCCGGCACAGCAGGTCGGCCAGGTGGGCCGTCAGCCAGCCGTCCGGCAGCGTGGCCTGCGCCGTCTTCAGCAGCTTGTGGATGTCGCCGTCGAGCGCGGCCTGCAGCATCTGGTCGAGCGCGGAGAGCTGGCTCGGCCCGCCGAACACCTCGATACTGTCCTCGGCCGCGTGCCTGCCGGCAGACGACGACAGTGAGACAGCGGTTAGGAAAAAAAGAGTTTAAGTGCCCTCCATGTTCAGCTTTGAGAGCCGATCGCGAAATGCAACGATCTCTGACGACTTATAGTTTAACAAATCACCACCATCGGTCACCGCTGTAAGGCTTTTCCCCATAGTTAGTTCAGCCGCCTGCCCAGACAAAGGAAACCTCAGAGCGCTGTGCACCGCTCACCTGAGCTCGAAGATGCCGACCCAGGGCCGCGAGTAGAGTGTGTACGACACCATCAGGTGGTACCAGGAGCCCATCTCCTGGTAGAGGTCCTCGAAGGTCACGGCGTCACCGCAGAGGATCTGTCGGCACGACAGACGGCCGGGTCAGTCGGGCTCGCCAGAGACGGATCGTCGGGAAGGAGGAAGGAGGAAAGCCACACCGCCACTGGGATATATGCTTTCTCTCACCGCAACTACGTAAAGCCTCATGACTCCTCGGCACTGTATATTAACATATCCCCGCTCTTATCCCCTCACGGCCGTCATTCCGCCGACACACCTTGACGAGCGTCTGCAGCCGGGGACTGTAGCCGAACTCTCCGGACTCGAGGCGCAGCACGCACTGCGCCTGCCAGTGGCGCCAGCGCAGCTCGAAGTCGGCACCCTCGGCCAGCGGAGGCACCTTGCGCAGCAGCTCGTCGGCGCTGACGAACGGGTCCGTGCCGAACCCGCTGTGCAGTCGGAGCAGCTTCCGGGCGGCCGCCTGCCGTCCCTGCAGCACCATCCCGTACACCTGCCGGCCGGCCGTCAGATCAGACCGGGTCAGCTGAGCTCAGATCAGAACAGATCAGCGGCTAACTGCCGTACCTGCAGCACCATCCCGTACACCTGCCCAACGGCCGTCAGATAAGATCAGCGAGGATCGCAATTAGATCAGCGCAGCAAAGAGCAAATCAGATCTGCAGCTCAGCTCAGCGTAGATAAGCTAAGGTCGGCTCAGCGCAGATCATCTTAGAACAGCTCAGTTCATATCAGATCGCGTTGTTCACATTCATTCCAGATAAACAGTACCTATTTATCCATCGCTTACCACCATCAGTCTATCCACCGTATTTAACAACCATAATTGTCGGGAACTTGACATACACCAGAAATGATACGCAAGCAGTAAACCAGCAGTATTTCAACTGTCTTATTCAACTATTCACTCACCGTATTCCAGTAGTCGGGGTGTTTCTCGGGCATTTCGGCCTCTGTGACGGCCGCGGCCGACTTGTCGAACTGTGTGGCGTGCTGTCGCACCCAGTCGAGCAGCTGGCCCAGCACCACGCCTCCTGCCGATGGTCAGCGCAGTGCCGGTCAGCCGAGCGTGCAACACAGTCCGAACATCACAACCGTGACGAAATGTACGGCTCTTGTTAGGAGCTGCGTCTAGCCAGCTTCCCGCCGGGAGTTCAGTATTTCACACACTACAGTGAGTTCGTCGACCAGCCTAAGAGGTAGTTGTAGCCGGACACCGAGTACCGGGAATCACGCTTAGCGTTACGCCGCGCTTGGACCAGGATTGTTTTACTAATAGCTCGGACGTCCGGCGGACGCACCCACCTCGCTTCTGGTCGACGAGCACGATCTCGGAGAGGTTCCACACCATTTCCATGCTGTTGAGGAGCTGCCGGTGCGTATCGGCGTCCTCCTCGTCTGAGGCAGTCACCGTCTCCATACTGGCGCGGAGACACGACCTGACGGCGGGGGAAGGGAGGGATCAACATCCACGGTCTGATGGCAGCCCCGACACCGCAGTCATGGCAGTGAAATAGCTATACAAATACAACCACTGGCTGACAGCGGCGGCGACAAAACACGACCTAGGCGTATTTATTCAAAATAATACTTAACAGACGTGGCTGCCGCTGGTCGCCTGCCACTGGTAGCAGGAACTGGCCGGGGGTAGACTCACGGCGCACGCCGACTCACCGGTATCGTCTGCTGAGTTTGAGCAGGCTGAGTCGGAGCGCGGCCTCTCCCTGGCCGGCGTCACAGCTCTGCAGGTCGCTGAACACGCCGGCCGACTCGCTGGCCAGCTGACGCCACCAGCCGGGCCACTCGCTCGGCGACCAGAACACCTCGCGGACACCGCCCCCCGCCGGTGCGCCGCCTGAAACGTCCGTCCGTCAGCACACTGCCGCCACCACAGACCACACACCTGCCATCGGCCCGCCGCCCGAAACGGACATCTGCAGTCCGCGGCCGACCGCAGACACCACAGACGGCACACCCAGCGCACAACACAAACCCACCGCCGGCCCGCTCACGAAACTGCCGGGCACTCAGCACACTGCAGACACGCACCCACTGCCGCCCCACAACATTTAAACAGCAATGGCACAGTTCACAACAAAAAAGAAGAGAAAGTCCAAAAATCACCCACACTTAAAGTTGAAATAAACTTTAAAGTTCAGGAAATCACTTGTGAAAACCCATTCAAAAGGATAAGCTCTCTCTCTCTCTCTCACACACACAAAAATCATGTGTGCAAAAATGAGTGTGACTGATGCTAGTGAGAGCTTCTATGTTTGAACAGACACATCACATTTCCTGATATCTGAAATAGTCTGTGCCTAGGCCAAGATCCTCAGTCATCACTATTGGAGCAGCCATAATTGCATATAAAATACATATCTGTCATACCACTTGGCATCACTGGAGCAACCATTTAAGGTGGGATGCTAGAATGGGCTACCTTAAATGACATTCTATATGTAACAGGCTTCCAACATGAGTGAAAATAGGAAAATTTGGATTATATGTATTTTACAAGCCTGATTAATGCAGTAAGTTTTCCCTCCTGACATTACCTGGCTGTCCAGAGTCAGTGTCCTTAGCTCCAAAGTCAACAGCATGCAGAACAACGTTGTTCTGACAGCCATGACTGAAATTGATGTTTAGACGCTGGTGGGTAGGCATCGGCAGGCTGACCATCTGAAAACAATAGTGGTGAATGCATGTCATACCTACATGGTGAAATAATTTTATCTTAAAAGTTTGTACAATTTTTTAAACAAAATGTTTTAGTCTGCATCTAAAACAGTTGTGATGGAATTGGCTGTTAGTTCATGGTTCCTTCTGGTGGGTGCAGGGTTGAACCCTGAAATTGAAATGTGATTAAAAAATTGTATGCAACTGCTAATAGTACTCTGTCAGGCATCAACTAAGTGCTCAGATACAGGGAGAGGTCCTCATTCCTTGCTCTTTGAAAAATGCAAGGGGGTTTATAGTAATAAGTTAAATTTGTCAAATGTTCTTAAGGGTCCATCACCTTTTGCAACAGTATGTTTCAACAAATCATAAGCCCTCATTTTTAAAGCAATCACAATGGACTTACAACATCACATCGAGTTGTGTCATCTTCCATACTAAATTGTACTGGAACTACTTGGGTATTCCTTGCTATTATTAAGTTCTTTGTTGCTGTCCTGTAAAAATTGGGTGAAAATGACATGCCATCAGATCTAATGCCTAAGAATTGAACAAATAGATAGTTAGGTTGAGGGACACATAAGTGGATAACTCACAACCCGCACAACTCAGTACATTGGGAGTCCCAGCAACACCATATTTATTTGATTATAACAAAAAGCTTAAATTATTATGACATTTCACATTGCCTGTGCCTGTTCTGCGCACGTCTGGCGCAGCTAACAGCTTGAGCTACCAGCCATCTTCTAGCATTTCCAAACGAGTTTACCCCACAATCTAAGGAGAAATTAATGCAAGCTAGCAGAATATCTATGATTCACGCAGAAAATCTCCTTATTTACACACTGAAACCAAAAGCACGATTCGGGTCAACTCATTCGCGTACGTTTCATTCAGTGTTGTGTATTTCGCGGCCCGCCGTGTTCGAAACGCAAGATCGTAGCAACTGCGCCATTTATGGCATATAATCAAGTCTTAATTCACAAGCTCAAGTGCTGCTCCACAGGAACCGAAGGTTAGATCACCAGTCGCTAGATGACAGGACCAGTCAACGCCTGTAAGCACACTGTACCGCAATACACCACATAAGTAGATACCTGATGGGCATTGCCTGATGATATGCACGGTATATAGCGAACTTATGCGGGTGCGTGCAAACGGCAGCGGGCAACCGTTGAGACAGTCTTGGTCGAAACCAGATTTGGACAATTTCAGCCAGTATCCACTTTGATCTGGTTTTATTTCATTGTTCAAACTGACTGGCTTGCACTTATAACTTACCAGTAAAACGCCTTTTAGGCGAAGAACGAGCGAGCGAGATAGTGAGCCCTGCACGTGCGGAAGGGCGAGAGGGTACTTCCAACGGGCTTGCGCAAAGCACCCTTCTAACCGGTCGCTAGCGGTGTACCAAATTTGAACGCAATCGGCCCAGCCGTTCCTGAGATCTGCAAGCGGCATTCTGGCTCTGCACGTGCGCACGTGCGAACAGGGTCCAAACTGACTTTTGCACGGCACCCTATTAACTGGTCCCCAACCGTGTACCAAATTTGAGCGCAATCGGCCCAGCCGTTCTCGAGATCTGGAAGCGCCCCCTGCACGTGCGCACGTGCAGTAGCACCTTAACCGCAACACATGGGAATGCATTGCCTGGTGGGTGCCTACCTGTATGCCAAGTTTCACTTTTCAGCGAAATCGCCCCAGTAATTACCGAGATATTAAAATGGGAACAAAGTTGACACCTCTTATTGTTGTATTTTGCACGTGCACTGGGGGTGACCCACATGCATCGAGAGTATCCTATTTTTGGTAGAAGAGATGCTGCTACCCTACAAAAATTACCGCAAGTCACTCGCCCAAGCGGCTGCTGAGATATGAGCCTCCCAAAATCACTACTTTTTTAAAACAGTTTGAACACCCTTGACTTTTCACGTGGCACGTGCCACGACGGTCACTGAGATGTATCAAAAGTAGTCAATTACGGGGTAGAAGGGATGGGGCTACCCAGCAAAAAAGACCGCAGGCCAATCGGTCCATCGGTTGCTGAGATATAAGCCTCTCAAAAGCGTTACAGGCCGGGCCGGGCCGGGCCGCTCATACTGAGATTTTTCCGTTATATTGAAAAGACTCACTTCGCTCGCTGCGCTCGCTCGCTCGTAATAACTCCCGTCCCCTCGCCGTTCGGCCCCTGACCGAGCTAGAGCTCCGCTGAAAAAATAATAAACACACATGTGACTTTGAGAAGTAGTTTTGTTTGGTGCCTACTGCCGATGCAACATGTTGGCTGCGGCTTCAAACCTTCGCATTTATAGCGGGAGAGGGTCGGCTGAGCCCCTGTTTTTTGCAAATAACTTGCGAAAAAGTGGCCGATCCCGAGAAAATTTTAGTACCCCTGAGATCATCACTTTTACACATACGCTGATAAGGACATGACTCTGAGCCAGTTTACCTTTGACATGTTTAACTCAGTTTCTAGAGACTCGGGCCAAAATTGGGAATCGACGTAGCTCGATCAGGGGCGGTGAGGGGTCCAGCAGACCCCTCCCCCAGTATGTATGTACTAGTTATATACGTCAGTGGCTGGCAAAGCGCTAACAGGGAGAGTGTTCAATGATACTAATCTGTCACATTTTATGCCTACCCTGCACTATCTGTCGTTTCTATGCTGGGGACCAACCTAATCCTAAAGCACGTGACTTCCCCAGTTGTGGAATAACCCGCGCCCTGATGGGGTCTGCCGAGCAACGCGGTCTGATGGGGGGGGGGGCATTTTGGTCCCCCCTAAGATCTCGAGAACCACGCAACATAGCGACAAGCGGCAAACGGCGTTGGATAGCCCCAACGGGGAACTACCTTATGACCCAATTTTATTTATCTCGGTCAAACCGATGACGTCACAGGTCAGGTCAAAGGTCGAATTTTCACCGTTTACGGCATTTCAAGAAATGCGTTGTAAAATCGAGTAAAACGCATTTCGTTGAAAATCATCGATGGGGAAATGCTCGTCAAACACATATTTAGCTATTTGAGGTCACTGATACCAGGTCAGGTCACAGAGGTCAGGTCACTGAGGGTCACAATTGAAAATATCATGTGATGCATGTTTTATGGTCCATTTTATATGCCAAATGCGATTATGTGGGACAGGCAGCCCTTGGGGTTAGTTAAGACTATGTTTTGGTGAAGGTCAGGTCAAGGTCAGGTCAAGGTTAGGTCAAATTAGGTCAAATTTCAAAGTTGATATGTTTGCATAAAATGGGTATCGATTCGATGCAGCTCGTCACGGGGAGTTCAATGAAGGTCTCCGTTTTGCGCTACGTGGTCTAGAATTGCTAAAAATTGAGTTCAAAAATTTGACGTCATCAATTTTTAACAGTTTTTTTCGCTATAACCTGGCCAAAAAAGAGGTATCGATCTAGGTATGTATATCAAAGAGCGCAGGGACTATCACATATATTCCGCTTTTTTCGAAATTCGGTAAAAAATTGGAAAATTTTTGAGTTTTTCTAAAAAAATCATTTTTTTTTATTTTTGGGGGTCAAAACCCTAAAATTTTGAAAATCCGAGATAGCAGTTTTGTAGCGCCGTCTTTTCTCTACACAACCACATAAAGAACTGTAAACTTGCTTGTTACCTATAGAATTGGTGAGCGTTTCAAGATGTCCTGTTTTTTGCTCATTTTTACTCGAACATGACCTCAGTTTGACTTCAATAACTCCTGACCCGAGGCGACCTGTGACTTGACATTTTGGGTGAAGGTGTCAAATTGATGCCCGGTAAAGTACCCGAAATTTGGCGGCGCTGCGCGCTGCCGTTTTCTCGCTATTTAAGAAAACCACAGGGGGGCCAAAATGCCCCCCATCAGGGCGCGGGCTAACGGCCGATTCACCCAGACCAGGATTAGTCAAGCTGCTTCTGAGGTCGGTGGTGAAATTAGCCCAACATCTGTCCCTAATCTATCAATAAAATGCTCAAATGCCCCTAAAGTGCTATAAATGGCCTAATCAACTTTCATCTAAAAACCATGCAACATCCCTCTATACGTATTTCTACTTGAAATTAGTGAAAGCAACATACACAGTTTGATCCGAAACAAAGCACCAACGACTTTTTTCAGAGTTTTGCCAATCTCGAGCACCATAAATTGGCGTTTACAAACCATATCAGACAGCTCATTATCATAGCTTTCAGCTTTATTTCTACCATGCATGACACGAAGGTATAAAAGTCACGCAATGTAGTTCGTCATTACTATGCTTTCATACTAAATACCAATGTGAATGACAGTAGCACGTATACTATGCGCTAACCGCTAATGACATTTTTGTTTTATTTCTGTCGCGATGGTATAGCGTCGCTATGTGCCGGCACTACAGGCGGTCTCCAGGACGGCGCGGCGCGGCGGTGGGGGAGGAGGATGGCCGCTGGTCGGCGTAGGACCGCCCGCCCGGACTTGTGTGTCCGAGGTGGGCCGGAGCGCAGCGCCGGCTGCTGCCTCCTAACTGCCTGCTCGGGACGCCCGCCTCCACCCCAGGCGAGGAAGGTAACGTCCAACGACTGATAACTCCAAACAGCGCGATCTAAATTCATTATTATGTCATTCTGTAAAAAACTGAACACATATCAATTTATTGTGTATTTAATAGCCCCCTTTAATTCCGCCGTGTTGGGAAGGGAGGTGTTTGTTGCGCCCCCTCAGATGTTTTTTTTTTCTGAATATATCGCGTGACAAATTAAACCCTCGCCCGAATTGGTGTTTTCTAAGTCGCTAACGAATGTTGGGGGAGGGGGGGGGGGGGGGGGCGGGGGAGGGGTTTTCAACGTAACTCAGGTCAATGACCCAAAAGTCGGGAACATAAGGGCCTGCTAGAACTTTGTAAATTGTGGTTGTTATGGGGCCTTTGAGGTCCTGATTACGAATTTCATGTTAGCTTTGATCAAAGATGCATGATGTGTAGTAGAATCCGCCTATTAAATCCACTTGGTAACACGAAGTTCTGGATTCATTAAGCGCTGGCGTTATTACCTAACCGACGAAGTCATTGTCATTAAAGAAATGTGTATCGCAGCTGTACAGTTGACCACATAATGATGTTCCACATTGAACAATCAGTTGTCTCAGATGATAGGCTGTTCTTATCACGCAGACTGAGTAACACAGTTGAATGCTGTGACCCTGCCCTCACCAAAGACACTATTAACTCGCGCCCCACTGGGGTCTGTGTATGACGCGCCCTACTGGGGAGGGGGGGGGGGCTATTCTTAGCCCCCACCCCCTCCTAACTCCGAAACTACTGGGCCTATCGTCAAAATTCAAACGGCGTCTGATGGCCCCGGATAAACTGTCGAGCAAAACCTAATTTCATTGACACCGATGAGGTCACAGATCAGGTCAAAGTAAACATTATCGATGTTTGGCTTGTTCACATTTCAGGCTCTGGCTGCCGTCTTACAAGTCAGATGAGGCTCATTTTTGGTTTACACACTCGTGAACAGGTGCTTTAGATACCATGAGGGTCCAAACTTGTACTTTGATTTTCAGGTCAGGGTCAGGTCATTACAGGTCTCGGAAAGCTTATATCATGCATCGGTCACGTAACACATTTTTTATGGTCCATTTAGGCCATAGATTTCGAATGCGATGTCGTTGATGTCAATCGAGGTCATTTTGAGTTGAATTTAGCTTAGGTGAGGCCACTTTCAGGTCAAAAAAGGTCAAATTAAAAAGTTAAAATTTTTCAACAAAACAGTTACCTATCGGATGCAGTTTGAGCTAGGAAACACGATGGTGCTTCTTATATTGTTGAATGATGTTGAATGATGTTGAATACGTGCTAAAAAATTGATTTGAATTATTAATAATTGTGAAATGTTTGCTATGATGCGAATAACTTGGCCATTTTCAAAAATACCTATCTGGCTACAACTTGCTAGAGTAATTCATAACCATGTGTTCTATCACATATATTCCGTTTTTTTTTTTCGAAAAGTCAAAAACATTTTGAAAGAAAGGTACAAATATAAATTTTGAATTTTATTATATATAATTTTCGAACTTTTCTAAATTTTGAAAGTCCGAGATTGCAGTTTGATAGCGATGTCTTTTTTAAAGGGACTATCCCACCTTCTAAAATGTTGTTAAAACCAGTTAAATTGTGCCCGACTTTATAGATTGGATGACCAGGAACACGGTTCTGGCATTTATTTTTCATTAAACATCTTAGGCTTCCCATATTCCAAACACAAACTTTCAAATATGTGACGTCACAGCCCAAAATTACCTCCTTCCCCAGGCCACATTACTGTCATAAAGCTGATTCTTTTTACTCTGTAGGCACCACAACAAAGTTCAGACCAAGTTTTAAGCGATTTTTCAACGAACAAACCCATTTAAATCAGAATGACTAAGCGAGGTGACGTCACACTAACGGTCGCTCCATGTTGAAGATAGGGCCTTGTACAAGGCCCATTTTCAAATGAAGGGAACGAATTTCTTCAACACCAAGAGGCCGCGGGGGTTGCAACCTAGATAGATAGTGGTTTCTGAACCTCGCCGCAAACTTGGCTATCTCAACTCAAACCCCATGTTAAAGGTGGGATAGTCCCTTTAAGTCTTCTCGTGCAAAAAAAAGGATCTAGCTCAAACACTGAGCTCATGGGAGCAATTGCCGTGGTTCAATGTTTTGCGTCGAAATCGGCCGAAGATGACGTCACTCCGACGTCATTTCCGGCCGACCTATAGTAGCTACGATGAAGTTCTTTATGTGGTTGTGTAGAGAAGAGACGGCGCTACAAAACTACTTTCTCGGATTTTCGAAATTTTGGGATTTTAACCCACAAAAATAAAAAATGTTTTTTTTAGAAAACTCAAAAAATTTCCATTTTTTTCGAATTTCGAAAAACCGGAGTATATGTGATAGTCCCTGCGCTCTTCGATATACATACATACCAAATTTTAGATCGATACCTCTTTTTTTGGCCAAGTTATAGCGAAAAAACTGTTAAAAAATTGATGACGTCAAATTTTTGAACTCAATTTTTAGCAATTCTAGACCACTTAGCGCAAAACGGAGACCACCATTGAACTCCCCGTGACAAGCTGCATCGAATCAATACCCATTTTATGCAAAATATCAACTTTGAAATTTGACCTAATTTGACCTGACCTTGACCTGACCTTTACCAAAACATAATCTCAACTGACCCCAAGGGCTGCCTATCCCACATAATCGCATTTGGCATATAAAATGGACCATAAAACATGCATCACATGATATTTTTAATTTGTGACCCTCAGTGACCTGAACTCTGTGACCTGACCTGGTATCAGTGACCTCAAGTAGCAAATATGTGTTTGACGAACATTTCCCCATCGATGATTTTCAATGAAATGCATTTTACTCGATTTTACAACGTATTTCTTGAAATGCCTGTAAAGGGTGAAAATTCGACCTTTGACCTGACCTGCGACGTCATCGGTTTGACCGACGTCAATGAAATTGGGTCACAAGGTAGTCCCCCGTTGGGGCTATCCAGCACCGTTTGCCGCTTGTCGCTATGTTGCGTGGTTCTCGAGCTCTTAGGGGGGGGGGGCAAAATGCCCCCCCATGCGACTGCGTTGCTCGGCAGACCCCATCAGGGCGCGGGTTAAATAGTTCGAGGCATTCAGTTGCCTAAGCGACACCAGTTACCAATGTTTTAGGAACTTAGGAAGCTCCATAAGACGTAATGAAAGCGGAGTGAGGTGAGGCTGGAGGATGACAAAGGTGTCCATTTGTGGCTTGTACAATGCTACGTGCAAGATAGCCGGTTCCTGTTTTCATTGCTATAGTTATTGTCATTCCTCTTTCCTTTTTTATCACTTACGCGTTTTTTTTTTCGTGTGAACTTTTCATCCACATTCCAAGCATGTTTTATGTGAGATGATGAGATTTTTCACCTATTTGTAGACGGTCATAGACATTTTGTAGCGATTCACGAAAGCGGCTAATGAGAAGCTAAATGAGAGACGTAGGAAAACCCGTAACCATTCCACTTAATTATATTGATTATGTGAAGTAAAAACCTTATTACAAGGCATATCGTTATATTCTTCATGTAAAATCAAACGTTTCGTCTCTGAACAAAGACATCATCAGTGAAGTTACACACAACAGTACATATCATGAGAAATTAATTGCATCATTTTATGTGAATAATTTTACTTGAACATATTATTAGAAATTAATTGCATGATTTTATGTGCGATACTGTGTTGCTCTTGGTTTGTCGCCTGATTGCTTAATATCTCATAATATGTACTGTTGTGTGTAACTTCACTGATGATGTCTTTGTTCAGAGACGAAACGTTTGATTTTACATGAAGAATATAACGATATGCCTTGTAATAAGGTTTTTACTGCTCCTGAAGCCAACAAAAGTCAGACTTTTTGGCGCAATTAAACGAGACCATGATTATGTAATTCACATTCGATATTACTCAAGCATTTCCTACACTCGTACATCCTTTTTATTAATCCGCGCCCCGTTTGGGTCTGCCAAGCAACGCGCCCCTTTTTGCCCCCTAAACACATATTTTGCTATTTGAGGTCATTTATACCAGGTCAGGTCACAGAGGTCAGGTCACTGAGGGTCACAATATGAAACATAGACCTATGTAGAGGTCTATGTATGAAAGTATTATGTGATGCATGTTTTATGGTCCATTTTACATTACAAATGCGATTATGTGGGTCAGACAGCCTTTGGGGCCAGTTTAGGTTATGATCTGGTGAAGTTCAGGTCAACGTGAGGTCAAATTAGGTCAAAATTCAAACTTGATATTTTTGCATAAAATGGGTATCGATTCGATGCAGCTCGTTACGGGGAGTCTAATGGCGGTCTTTGTTTTGCGCTACGTGGTCTAGATTTGCTAAAGATTTATCAAAAATTTTGATGTCATCAATTTTGAACATTTTTTTCGCTATAAATTGGCCAAAAAAGGAGATATCGATCTAAAAGTTGCGATGTAGATAGAAGCGCGCAGGGAGTATCAAATATATTCCGTTATTCGAAATTCTAAAAAAAATGGGATTTGTTAATAAAAAAGACATTTTTTATTTTAGGGATAACAATAACGAAATTCTGAAAATTCTAGATTGCAGTGTAGTGTCGTTTTTTTCTACACGACCACATACAGAACTTCGAAATTGCTTGTTAAAGCTGTAGGTTTTGCGAGCGTTTCAAAGTTTCATGTTTTTTGCTCATTTTTGTTCGAACATGACCTCAGTTTAACCTCAATAACTTCTGACCTAAGGTGACCTAGGACTTGAAATTTTGTGTGAAGGTGTCAAATTGATGTCCGGGAAGGTACTTAGAATTTGGCGGTTTTCTTGCTGTTCAGGAAAGCCACATGTTCTCCTTCCAACGGGGCGAGGGTTAACCTACCTTTCTGCTTGGCATTACAGGTCCCGGTACAGCACATTAGTGGGGCACCCTGACTGGTCACCATGCTGCTGCTTCTATTCCTGCTCAAAGCACTCAAATTTGGCATAGCTTGTCAGAAGATTCCGCTGTACTACGGCACGCTGGACCCAGCTCTAGCGCTTCCCGGAGGACCGATAACGGGCGTCATCTCATCGTGTCAATGCTGCGCCTTCTGCAATAACAATGAGCTGTGCAAGAGCTTCAGCTTCCGTGGCAGCACCGGCGAGTGCACGCTGTACAGCAAGGTGGGCAGCTACCCGACGTTCCTCCGACAGGACTGGGGTGCGGAGGATACGGAGTTCTACATCATGCCGCGTACCTCCACGACTGAAGAATTTTGCCGTCAAGATGAAGACTGCGTGAACGGAGAACCTTGTTTGGGGAGAGTTTGCACCACCAACCGAACGATAACCTGTCTCTCGATCAAGGAGCTGAACCCCACCATCAACACACACACGTTCTGGGGCGCGGTCGACGGCACTGAGATCCGACTGTCCTGCTTGATGGACGTCCAGGGCGGCGGCTGGACGCAGCTGGTCGATGCTGTGTTCAACTTCTTCTGGCAGCCAGCAGACGTCCTCAGTTTGAACAGTACCACCGTGGACGGGGACGTCCCGAGAATGAGAATGGGACAGCCATATTCTGCGCTATGGTAAGCGAGAAAAGCCTCGATAAACGCGCTTAACTGTTTGATGCTTTGCAATTTGCAGTGCATAGAATCGCACTAACTATATACACATATACTAATTACAGTTCAAAGGTATTTTACCGATATACTGCAGATGACATGTATGTACGTTGTTGGTGCGGGCCTTCTTCAAATAATGTTCCATGTCTAAAAATATGCATCAGGATGTCAGCTTGTTTCGGAGCATCGCAAGTACAAACACCTACATCAGCAAAATATACCTACTTGCACAGATAACAGTAGTACTTGCCATGAAACTCTGTCACATTCGTTATGTTTCACTTACCAACTCAACACCAATATGTCCATTGCAAGCAAGCCACGTTGTCTTATATAAACCAATGTTTTCTTGCTCTGCCCGCAGGGCCGCCGAGCTAATCCGCGACTCCAGGCCGGGAGACTACAAGGTCATCGTCAGAAGCCAAGGTTAGCTCATACAGCATTTTCAGCTGCTCATAAGAGTGTTATGATTTTCATGGGGTGTCTTGGAGAGATTCTGTAAGAGTGTTGGAAATGTTAGATCATGATATTAAACATGCTGCTCACTGAAGTGTAGGTGATTCTATTTATTGTTGATAACTAAAAAACAAATACAATGTCAGCTTGTTGCAGCCATTCATGGCAAAAAGCAGAAAGTGAAGATACCGAAAGAACTGTCCACGCCTCACCGCACAGCGTCCTCTCCTCTCGCCCCCGCGCGGCGACTGACTGTCTGTGAGGCGCCGCGGTCGGCCCGCCTCCCCTGTTTGTCACTCTAGGGTGTCATCACTGCCGGCGACCCGGCCGTGTGTACTTTACCGCCCCGTTCTCCTCTCCCGTCCCCTCCCCGCCCCAGCCCTCATCCACCCACGATGGCCGCTGCGCCGGTCTCCCGTCCGTTTCCCGCTGGCCAGAGCCTCAGTTATCTTTTCGCGATAGGTAACTAACCGTTCTAAGCATAACTCAGATTTGTTTTTCAATAGAAAAACACAATTCTAAAGAATAGTGTTTTAACTATTGACAACAAACCTTCGGTTAACCCGCGCCCCACTGGGGTCTGCGTATAACACGCCCTACTGGGGGGGGGGGGGGGGGGCTATTCATAGCCCCCCTCCTAACTCCGAAACTACTGGGCCGATCGTCAAAATTCAAACGGCGTCTGATAGCCCCGGAAAAACTGTCGAGCGAAACCTAATTTCATTGACCTCGAGGTCACCGATGACGTCACAGGTCAGGTTAAAGTAAAAATTATTAGCATTTTGCTTGTTCACGTTTTAGGCTCTGGCCGCCGTCTTACAAGTCAGATCAGGCTCATTTTTGGATCACACACTCGTGAACAGATGCTCTAGATACCCCGAGGGTACCAAACTTGTACTTTGATTTTCAGGTCAAGGTCAGGTCATCACAGGTCACGAAAATATTATATCATGCGTCGGTCACGTGACACATGTTTTATGGTCCATTTAGGCCAGAGATTTCGAATGTGATGTCGTCTGTGTCATTCGAGGTCATTTTGAGTCGAATTTAGCTTAGGTCAGGTCACTTTCAGGTCAAAAAGGTCAAATTTTAAAGTTAAAATTTTTCGACAAAAAAGGTGTCTATTGGATGCAGTTTGAGCTCAGGAACACGATGGTGCTATTTATATTGGCGTACGATGTCAAATACGTGCTGAAAAATTGATTTGAAAAATTAATAATTGTGAATTTTTTGCAATAATGCGTAAAACTTGGCAATTTTTGAAGATATTTAGCTAAAACTTGCTAGAGTTAGTCATAATAATGCGTTCTATCACATATATTCCGGTTTTTTCGAAAAGTCAAAGACTTTTTGAAAAAATGTAAAAATATAAATTTTGGATTTTATTATATCAAATTTTCGAAATTTTCAAAATTTCGAAAATCCGAGATAGCAGTTTGATAGCGCAGTCTAATCTGAGTCCTCTCATGCAAAGAAATTGGATCTAGCTTAAAAAGTGAGCTCTTGGGAGCGATTGCCGTGGTTCAATGTTTTGCGTCGAAATCGGCCGAACATGACGTCACTCTGACGTAATTTCCGGCCGACCTATGGTAGCTACGATGTTAAAATTTGGACACAAGGTGTCAAATTGATGCAGCCGAAGGTACTGAAAGTTTGGCGTCGATACGTCAAGCGGTTTGGAAGTTATTGCAGAAAAACGGGAGGAGGGGCTATAAATAGCCCCCCAGTGGGGCGCGGATTAAACTAATAACGGAGTAATAATGCGGCATAGGGGAGGATGGGGCAGGCTTGTATCTCAAAATTGGCGACATATTTCTGCACTTTCTCAACGCTGGCATGTGGGGCGTTCCACGACAAATCGACAAATAAAAAATTAAATTTGCACCCTCATATTTTATTTTTCGTTGAAAACTGGTGTAAGGGGTTGTGATGGGCGGGGAAGCCAGCTGTGGCAAGGATTTTTTTCTTCGAACAACGGTTTCCGAGATATAGCCTCGGGCAATTCCAGCAGGTCGCGCTGCAGCCCTATGTTTGGCGGCCTATAACTCAGAAACTATTGGTTTTCTACGATAAAAACTTTATATGGTTCAACTCACAATCAGCCAACAAACATTTTGGCTATCTCGGATTTTCAATTTTTGAAAATTTTGATCACGTGACCTTTTGACCTATTTTTCGAAGAGTGACCTTGATATTTTCCCCACTGAAAGTTGCAATTTTGTCTGATGACGATTAAAGCCTTATCAATTGTCATTCATATGCGAAAATAAAAAAGTGGATATTGCACTGCGTTGACTTCAGGTCAGGTCATTTTTATGACCTGTCCATTATTACGAGCGGGAGCGACAGCGAGATCTCGAGAATAAAGCAAGATAGCGACAAGCGGTAAACGGTGCAGGGTACAAATGGATAAGGTCTATAATTTTTACTAAGGTCATTTTCAAGTCAGGTCAAAGATGACGTCACAGGAGCAAAAAGGAAGTCAAAATTGCGGCACTACATATATGAAGTTTTTCTCGAATAACTTTCAAGGTATCCCAGCTAGGAACAAACTAATAGCACCATCGTGATCCTCTCGTCGATCCGCATCGAAAAATATGTATGTTGACCTCGAAAGGTCGAAAGGTCAAAAGTTGACCTTGGGTCACAAGACCTGCAGAGGCACGAGTCCGAGCCTTGGAGCACCTTGCCTCTTACGATGGTTTTATTCCTGTATTCACAGACGGCTCTAAAACACCCGAGGGAGCGGGCTGTTCTACCTTATCATACATCAATTCTACACATGTTGTGAAAATTTCAGACCAAGGTCATTCAAGGTCAGGTCACCAGGTCACTTGAAGTGACCTCACCTCATAAAAAGTTTCAATGTCTGTCATAGCTACACCGAGTGACCGATCGCTTTGAAACTTTCAGCGATTGCTAAGAGCAATAGCATGTACAAAATGTATATCTCAGAATTTTGATATCGATGACCTAAGGTCAGGTCAATTTTGCGACCTCCCATTATAAGTCAATGGGAGAAAATTGAAATGCGCCTCTTTTGGACGAAAGACATTATAAACATTCCCAAACACCGAATTACAAGTGGTTTAGACACACTGAACATGAAAATGGTGTCCGTGACCCTTGTTTGTGCCCTGAGGTCATCTTAGGTCACGAATGGTATCTAACAGTTTTTCGCAAATAACTTTTGATAGAGGCATGCTAGAGCGATTAAAACGCCTTATATGTGTTCAGCTCGACGATACGGATCGACTGATATGCAACATCACCCTTTCCGGTCAGGTCATGACCTTGACCTGAGGTCAAATTTTCAAGTTGACCTTTCAAGGTCAAGTTATAGTTCATTCGATGCGTCTTGACGAGAGGAACACGATGCCGGTAAAAGTAAGCTCGTACAAGGCTTGGGTCAAAAGTTATTGCAGAAAAACGGTTTCCGAAAAAATCGGCTATTTTTGCAGTTTTTGCCCCCTGCAGGCAAAACCGTTGACGTTAGATCATATCTGAGAGGATTACTCAGAAAGGACGTTAATAGGGCTATCGAATGCACTTTTCCGCGGCGCTGTAGCTCTAATGGTTCCCGAGTTATGCGTTAGCTTCTTGGAAATTTTCGACATTCGACCTGGAAATCGGCGAAATTTGGCCTTCAATGACCTCTGGTGACCTGACCTTTGACCTGACCAAAAAATTGACCGAAGTGATTTCGTCATTATTTTTTACGCTCTTTCGAACGCCGCCTTCCGCGTATCGCTACGTGGCCCAGGAGCCGAGTTACAAGGGGGGGTGTTCAAACACCCCCCCCCCCCCCAGCAGGGCGTGGAAATCCAGGACCCCCAGCCGGGCGCGGGTTAATCCAGCCGACCCGATCGTTCAAGACATTTTAACTCGGCTTCAGTCAGTGGAACAATCGGGTAAATCTGTTCAGTTCTGCTGGATTCCCAGTCACGTTGGCGTTCATGGCAATGAGCTGGCAGACGCGGCTGCAAGGCGTGCTGCTGCAGCACCCTGCACTCGTCGGTTGCCATTGCCGGCGCGTGATTTTTACCCTGCTGTACGATCTTTTATTCTAACGGAGTGGCAGGCAGAGTGGCGCCTGCGTGGAGGCAGGAAGCTCCGAGAGGTGAAGCCGACTCTGGAGCATTGGAGGTCTTGCTCGCAAGACAACAGGTCAAACGAAGTGATTTTATGCAGGCTCCGCATCGGTCATACGTATGCGACGCATGGCCACCTTCTCCGCGGAGATGAGCAGCCCGTTTGTGGCGGGTGCGCCGTGCCTCTCACCGTCGCCCACGTGCTTTTATCTTGTCGACGCTTGGAACCGGACCAGACTCGTTACCTGGGCCGCATCGCTCCGGATATCACCGTCCGCCACTTGCTGGGTGACGAGTCACCCTGGGTTTTATCTGGCAACATCTTTTCCTTTATCCGTTCAATCAAATTCCAAGTAATCTACTCGATCTGATACCAAACCAAGTAGTCCATACGTCTATTCTAATCTAGTCCTTACGCCTAGTCAGCTGTCTTTTACGATACGCTTGGAGTATTTTACCCTTCTTTGCTCTTTTTAACCAGCTTTTGGGCTTTTTTAAGCCTTTTATTACGTCGGTTTTCTTGTGACACACTTGCTTTACTTGTATATAGTTATGGGCGCAAAATGACCTTGTAGTCGGCGCGCCCTTAAGCCCCAATAAACAACAAAAAATGATTTTATTTTTTTGTCTATAAAGTCGTTAGGCGGTTTTACGAAAATAGTTGAAATTGCTCTTGGAAACACGAAACACCCCCAAGAATGGCGCCGCAATGTCGGAATTCATTTGCAGCTCAAATACTACATGCTATACAGTTTTCTAAATGGAAGTAAAAGTTACCATTTTCTAGTGAAATTCACGTTTCATCGATTTTGAAGAAAATTACGAGGGGGAGAGTTTTGAAAATTTTCCACGGTTTAGTTCCACCAATGACAAATGAATA